TGCCGATGTGGTACAGCCGGTCCGGGTGGTGGTGTTATGGCAAGGCGCCTCTCGGAGCTCACGTCGAAGAAAACGCTCCTCATTGAGGCTGGCGTCAAGTGCGTAGTTTCTGCCTAAACTGAATAGTGGAGACACGTGCTTACGGACACCGGCAGCCCTGACGGTGATATCCTGACGGAAGTGCCCTGGTATGCTCCTTCTAATCTCAACTCAATCGGTATGGTTATTTTTTTCCCGATCATGGAAATAGCTTGGTTCTGATCGTAGCGTTTTTGTTTGTCGTCATGCAGATGACTGGTGCGCGCGATTCTTGGATTGCCTATGTCTCCGTTTCTGACGACATTGTATAGGAATTACACAACAACGGCGCAGCCGGGTATCAACGGTCGCTCATTCAACTACAACCGGGGAAGGGCGCTGGGTGGCTCGTCGACACTTAGTGCGCATGCTCTTTACTCTTTCTAAATGTCATTTAATGTCAATCCCAGACTTCATGGTTTGGACTCGTGGGTCCCAGGATGATTTTGATCGCATTGCTAAAGTTACGGGCGACTGGGGCTGGTCGTGGAATGCGCTTCTGCCGTACATGACCAAGGTTAGCTATCTCATGCTCGCTTGCTAGGTTGGGTCTAACGCTATGGCGCCGCGCAGGTTGAGAACATGACCGTGCCAGCCGACCGTCATTCTACCGTCAACGAATGGGTCCAGTCTGTTCATGGTACTGAAGGCCCTCTGGGGATCACCCAAGCCGGTTTCGAGCTTCCTACCGATTCTATCATCATCAACGCGACACAAGAACTTGGCGCGCCGTACAACTTCAACGCTGACATGAACTCCGGAAACACGCTTGGTATCGGTACGTTTTCGCGCGACGTGAATAGATGATGTTCGTTGAGATCTGGTAGGCTGGTCACCTTCGACTACACCCAACGGGCAGCGTGCAAGCGCATGGACTGGCTACGTTCGCCCGGTTGTCGACCTGCCGAACTTCGACGTCGTTATCAACGCCCAGGTTACTCGCGTCATTCGTACTGGCACCCAGGATGGCGTCCCTGTCTTCCGCGGTGTTGAGTTCGCTCAGAGCTCTACATGTGCGTTCCTTTAGACCGTGCGTTCATATGGGCTTTTGTAACATGACAGTTATCAGCTCCGCGCTATGTCCTTCATGCGACTTCCGAGATTATATTGTCTGCTGGTGCCGTCGGTTCGCCGACCATCCTTCTGCACTCTGGCATCGGTCCGGCATCGGAGCTCAAGGCCCTCGGCATCAAGCCTATCGTCAACAACGCGCAAGTCGGCAAGAACGCACAGGATCACAGTCTTATTACGAACTCGTACTATGTTAACGAATCCGCTTACACCCTCGATGTAATTGGTTTCAACGCATCATATAACTCAGAGGTGTTGGCGGAGTGGCAGGAGAACAAGACCGGCCCGCTCACTCTCAATGCTTGCAACCAGCTCGGCTGGTTCCGCAACCCGGAGCAGTACACCACCGTCGACGACATCCCCGACCCTAGCGCTGGCCCTACGTCTGGTCACTACGAGCTCATCTTTACTGTGCGTGTTTGTTTAGTTGGGATACAGCGTTTTTGACGCTTCACAGGACGCTTTCGTCTCGTTCTCTGGTGAAGCTGCTCCTACGTGCGTCCCCTGCGTCCCCCGCACCGATGACGACACTGACCGATGAATGTAAGGTCCGGCAAGTTCTTCACGGTCTTCAGCAATGTTGTCTCCCCTGCCGGTCGTGGCTCTGTCACCCTCAATTCATCTAACCCCTTTGCCGCCCCGAACATCGACCCTGGTATCCTTGCCTCTTCTTACGATCTCGTGACGATGCGCGAAGCCATCAAGGCTGTCGTTCCCTTCGTCAAGGCGTCCTCGTTTGATGGCTTCCTTCTTGAGCCTTACGGTGAATACGGCGCAGCCATCAAGAACGGTACGGATGCGGCCATCGAGGCGTACGCCCGCAAATCGACCACTACCGTCTGGCATCTTGCGTCTACGATGTCAATGTCTAGCTGGTGGTCCCGTGACGGCGCAATTAACCCTGATCTCACTGTGAAGGGTGCCATTGGTCTCCGTGTTGTCGATGCTAGTTCATTCGTAAGCGTTTTTCCTTTCTTGGGCTTTCCGACCTAAATGTTCTTCGACCTAGCCCTTTATACCCGCCGCGCATACCCAGGCCCCCGTCTACATTCTCGCAGAGCGTGCCGCCGACCTCGTCAAGGCAGAAGCTTTGTGAGCACTGACGTCGCCAAGTTGTTTGTGTACTCATGTGTTTTCTCTGGCAAGCTGTGTATAATCTAGTCTCCTGCTGCTGTAATTTTGGGTTCAGCTCGCATCCACTCGTTTATATGTCAAATAATTTCCATGATAATTTGCAAAAGAGGATAGATACCCCGTGAGCGCGCGAATTGCCTTGCAGTAGGATGATTACATCGTAGTCCTCGAACGGTGCGTGGGAAATATATTTCAGTCGGTTGCCACCAATTCCGTCGGAACGCAATGTACCGTCGCTCAAGCTTCTGCACCTCCGGGAGTGCACCTGGGCGGTGGATCTCCTCCAAGCGTGAGGGGGGCACGGATATAAAGGTACGCATTCCGTGGCACGCCCTATTTCACGCACTAATCCACGCGGGGGTGTACTAGCTAAACTATGACCACTGTGCACAGCCTGTTCGAATTGGAGATGAACGACGGGACAAAAGTGTGTAGCTCGTCGGATATCATCCCCATAACATTTGAACATCGTTTCATAGATCCCAGCGCTCGCTTTCGGAAGCGGGACCCGATTCTTCCAGAGAGTACATTAAACGACGGTTCGGGCATTTCTAGAGGTATTGATGTGCTACCTTATTCAGGACGCGGAAAACGGCACACTGCTCGCGCTCAAACTCGGCTTTAGCCATCTCGACTCGGCTCCCAGTCTGTTATAGGTTTCCTGCCTGTTGCGCTAGGAGGACTCACGAGCCATATTCAAGTCTACGAAAATGAGGCGTCCGTTGGGAAAGCTATCTCCAGTAGTGGCGTACCTCGCGAGCGGCTGTATGTCACGACCAAGTATGATGGCGGCGATATCGAGGCAGAACTCCGCAAAAGCCTCGCTGATGTACGAACTATCATAGAATGCGTGAATCAGCGCAAAGCTGATGCGGCTGCGCTTGCCTTGAAAGCTTGGGCTGGATTACGTCGACCTCTACTTGCATCACCACCCTAAGCTATCCGAAGGCGGCGACCATGCGAAAGCATGGAAGGAGTTTGAGAAGGTCCAGGAGAAGGGTCTCGCGAAGTTGCTCGTGGCCCTTTCCATGACAGTGCGTCTCTGATATTCTCGGTTCGAACAGGAGCATTGGTGTGAGTAATTTCGGGGTTGCTGACATGGAAGCGATTTTCGCTTCGAAGCCCAAGATCCTCCCAGCGGTCAACCAGGTACCTAAAATTTTGCATCTCGCTGTTCGTTTTTCCTACGCTATTCTGCAGATTCGCCTGCATCCTTACAACTATGCCGAGAGCAAACCGCTACTCGACCTCTGTGCATCGCACAACATCGTCATTGAAGCCTTTCGTATCCTCTAGTAAGCCAGACTATGTTTGCTACTGCCCTACGGGAGACTGATTTCTACTGGAGTCCTCTCACGCGCGCCCCGGGCGGGGCCGTCGACGTGGTCATCGAGAAGGTTGCTCAGCGCATTGGTGGTACGCCCGCTCAGGTCTTGTTCAAGTGGGCGCTCGCTCGGCGGGTCGTCGTCGTCACGACCAGCGAAAACGAAGACAGGCTCGTACAATACTTAAACACCTTTTCCCTCGGTAAGTGGCCGTCGATACGACGGATTCATACTCGGCCAGCACTTCTTCTGACATGTACACGGCCAGCGGACCTGACTTCAGAGGAGATAGATGAGATCGATGCGGCTGGTGCAAAGGGCTCGCCTCCCGAATCAAATCTGGGACCTGTCGCGACAGAACAGGTTGCTGCGATCGCGGCCAGGCTTGGGATTCAGCGCTTTTAAACGTCGCTTTCGTACAAATGCAAGGCTTCGTGTAAACTAAGATTAACTGTAAGGTGGTGCTATGCTGTAACAGAGGCATTGGGACGACGCAGTGTATCCAGCTGCCGGCACGGTATTCGCATCAAGACGCAGCTATCGTTTGGTAACGAAGAATGACGGCCAAGCTGCTCACTCCCAGAGACGGAACTCAAGTCGCTGTTGCACGCTTCGCACGCATTTTCCCTGGTCTTTGACAAGCCTCTGAATAGTTGTACCTGAAACTGGGTAAACAAGCTGGTCTGCATTCTGTACGGCAAGTAAAGCGCCTTTCAAGTTTGTAAAAACAGCTTTACGGATATGGATGTGACCCAGCGGGCGTCAGCATGCATATGGACCAGGATCTGGCAATGCGCCGGGTTTCATTCATACGGCCGGAGAACTTGCAAGCTAGCTAACGGTAGGTGGATCCCATCCCCCCCTGTTGTTGCCAGAGTCTACTGTCCCTGAAACAGGGACTTGTCTTCCTACCCTACCTCTTTGGAGGTCGAGTGGCAAAACCGAGATAGGGGCGTTTATAGAAGTAGTGATTGACCGGATCTTACCGCAATATTAATCACAAGTTAGTCTCAAGGATTGCTACAGGGGCCACGGCGAGCGTGAGGTCAGTAACTCCTCTTTCTCTGCCGTATCGTGCAGAGGTGATCATGCGCTGCCTATCGACGAGCGTTATTTAACTGCGATAACTAGGAAACCTACTCCACATTTGTCATCCCCAGTATGATTGAAATGCGAGTCTGCAGAGTTTTTGACCACCAGAGATACAAACTCGAGGTTAGCATTGTTAGGCTCCGGTTGTTGCACTTCGGCCCAGGACAATAGCAGTCTCATACAAAAACACATTGATCCACACTTTCAGCCCAGGGAAAGCCCTTCAGTGTCGAACAGACCATTATGTGTCACAAGTGGATAACCGGGCAAAATTCGCGCTAATTGAAAAACATGAGGGATTGAACCCCACCCGGATCGAACGGATGACCTTGAGGATATTCTCACGCATCCCTTGACGGGCTTAACGCTGGAATCTCACGCTCTACCGCTGAGCTAGGGGTCCTTGTATTAGACTGAGAATAGCCTGCATATAGGTCGCAAAATGCGGGGAACGCAAGATACATTGCTCGAATAACCAGTCTGCGCCAGGGCAAGATTATCAGGTCTCCGTGCGGGATACCTCATTGCACACAACAAGCGGCTAGTCTATCAAGTGTTCGAGTGATGCGCACTGTCACAAGGCCTAGTCAAGCAGCGACGGTATTCCAGGCTGGGAACAAGGTCGGTGAGGATGTCAACTCGATGTACTGCATACGAGCAGGAGGTCGGGGGGCGAAGAAAGAACAAAGCACAACAAGACGTATTGGGCAGGCAATGGGTAGAGCAACGCAACAGAGGGCACGATCGATGTCGAATCCGGCCAGCGCGGGACAAGCCTCAGCCGTGGCGTGCGGATTAAGTGCGGGCGGAGATCCCGGACACAACGCTTCAACCGGACTCCCAGCGCTGCGCCGTCAACGCCACGCCCTACCACTGAGTTAAGGCTGTCACGTTCCACGTTAGTAAGGGACCAGCAAACCTACAAATGAGCTGCATGACGTGGAGTATCCGGAGACACGGCCGGCATAGTCTAAGCGGGAGGAAAGAGCCATCAGGAATTTGTGCTGGACACCTTGTTGCGTAGCGCGAGCGAGCGTCCAAGGCGTACGGGAGGCGTGCATTGTAGCATGGCGTACGGGAGGCGTGCATTGTAGCATGGCGTACGGGGGGGCGTGCATTGTAGCATAGCCTGACCAAGCAGCGATGGGGTTGCAGGACTGGGATAGAGCCACCAAGACCACGTATTCGGCGCGTAGTGTGCACTAGCGAGAGCTCAGGGGCGAAGAACGGAACGCAATAAGGCGAGATGGCGATACATATCATATGCTTGGATGACAGGCTGGCGACCGGTAAAGTAGCGCGGCAGGGTGCACTGTCGACGTCGTCGCGAGAGGCGAATCCGCTCAATGCTGGGAAAGTCGAGAGTCGAAGGCCGCAGCATGCAGGCTGGGAACGATTGGAGATTTCAGATGTGGTGCTATCGGTCGGAACTCCAGTGCGTGCCTCCAACACCACACTCTATTGCTGAGCCAGGAGTCTTTACGTCGGTTAGGAAGTGATCAACCTCTCAGCAAAACGCAGACAGACATAGGACACGCCGGAAACATAGTTTCAATATTAATGACCTAGTCAAGTGGTAATGGGATCCCGGGCCCAGGACAGGTCACCGAGAACGTGTGCTGCTGTACATGATGCGGTGTGCGCGGACGGGAAGATAGGTCAGTCAGGAGCAGAAAAAGGACGCGACAGCGCAACACGACGAGATATACTAGATGCGCGGATGGTGAACTGACGAACAGCAAAGAGCACGATCGACGTTGTCGTCAGAGGCAAGCCCGGACTGCGGGGAAAGCCGAGAGTCGAAAGTCGTGGCGGCGTGCGCGATCAAACTCCGGACGTGGCGCTGTCAGCTTGAGCCTTGAGTCGGGCCCCACCGCGCGCCCCCACAGAACGCATTGTCCGTTACGAAGACGGCGAGGCGCAAACGCAATACCCATAACTAGTCGCGGTGCCATGAAGGACATATGACGCGCTCGTCGACCCGAAGTACGCCCTCGCGCCCTCGCGATCCAAGCTGAACGTCCCTCGCCCGCCATCATGTCGTCCTGGGCCATCATCGGCGCCTCGCGTGGCATCGGCCTCGAATACGTCCGCCAGCTATCCGCAGACCCGACGAACACCGTCTTTGCACTCGTGCGCGACGCCGCGCGTGCAGAGCATCTGCAACCGCTCGCCGCGGCGCATAAGACCGTGCACGTCCTCGCGGCGGACCTCACCGATCACAGGACGCTCAAGGCCGCGGCCGACGCCGTCGCGTCGCGCGCGCCCGGCGGCGCGCTCGATGTGCTCGTCGTCAACGGTGCAAAGACGGGCGGCGCGCTCTACTTCACGCCGCTCACGGAATAGTGCGCGTCTCTCCAAGCCTGCGTCCGTACCGCATACTGCTGACGCCACTTTAGCGCAGGAAGGGAAGACGAGGTCGACGCAGAGTACACGGACGCCGTGCGCGCTTCCATCTCCTGCACGCTACTGCACCGCTGACCGTCTCCCGCAGTTCCGCACGAACGTCCTGGGCCCACTACACGCGACAACGGCTTTCCTCCCTCTCCTGCGCTTAGGCTGCACGCGCAAGATCATCTGCATCTCGTCATCCGCCGCCGACCTAGGTGAAGCGCAGCGCGCGGGCTCAACGATGATGGCCGCGTACGCATGCACGAAGGCCGCCCTAAACATGCTCGTGCTCCAGCTCGCCAACACGCTGCGCTCCGAGCGCTTCGTCTGCGTCGCGCTCAGCCCCGGTATCGTCAATACTTCCGAGACGACAGCAGGGAAACGTGCGTGTGCGTTTCCCCACCCTTTTTCTCTGCTGAAGTGATGCTGTCGCGGGTAGCGGGTGAGCTGCCGCCAGGCTTCGACGACGCGCTTCGCTCGATCCATCGCGCGTACGCCGACTGGACGCCCGTCGCGTATACGCCCGGGCCCGCCGAGTCGGTCACGCACCAGCTCGCGACGATCGCGCGGCTCGCTCCGGGGGATAGCGGTGCGTTCTTGTCGGAGAAGGGCAGGACGGTGCTGTACGAGGATTAGCGTGGTGCTATGCGAGGGCTAGTGCGGTGTCGTGTGGAGACTAGAATGGGATGATGGCCGGTAGACACTAAATGTTAGATTGCCGACCGTCGATATAGCGCGCTGCCCTCGCGCCTCAGGTTTGCGTGCTGCTCAGTAGACTAACACAGATCGCTTTCCCATCCTGCCTCCCTTGCATCCGTCTTTCTGAGCATCTAACACAGGCCGAGGCTATTTGCACGGAAGCTTCGGAAGAAAGGGGGAGTAAGGGCTCTGGAACGGTAGGTGCGAGAACATCGAATCCAGTGATGCGCGGTGGCCGACGGTAAGCTTCAGTCATGACTACAGTTATCATGACTACGACTTTTGCGACTGGCTTTAATCGAGCTCTGAGAGTCGGTGGTACCGCGTCATCCGGATCGAGTACGGGCAGGTATGTAAGGGGTCAGACCCAGGACGCATCGTACCGTCGCATTCTCGCGCATCATCGGACCATGCTCAGGTGCCCTATCGCAGCTAGCCACGGCCGTCAAAGTCGCCGACGACCGTGTTACAGATTTTGAACGTGCGCCACTGCTTGCGAATCAGGCGCATACACTCGACGAATATCTCTCAAAACGGCCGTCGCGCGTCGAGGACGTGGCGAGGATGTCTGTTTAGAAGGCGGGACGGCGATGCCACTACCAATCCCGCCGCAGACCGCTGGAAAAGACACAGGGCGAGTAAACGGGCGTTGGGACTTGGCTAGCGCCTTCTGGCACGAAGGGCCCAAGAAATACTTGGCGCGAGGGCGATAAGCGGCGTGTGTTCCGGGCCTGCGTCGTCCACGCTAACATCGCAGCCAAGCGGGCTGTGTGTGACGCGGGGACGCGCGGCAGGGCAGGGCACCCTATAAGAGCCCATTGAAGTGTATGCTCGCGCGCCGGTTCGACCGTCTAATCCAACATCGATAGAGGACATCCCTTACCGGTACAAAAGGCGATGAGATTGCATTACGAGGGCGGTCGTTCCCGGACTAACTACGTATGCGGCGAGCCAAACTACGTACGCAGCCAGGCCGTCTTTGCGATCTTCTTCAGCCGCTTCTGCTCTTTGAAGCGTTCCTGCGGCGCGTGCATCAGCATCCCGTCACAGACCAGCGAAAGGGGCAAACGAAGACGGGCGACACCAGCGCGGCCGCGTCGCAACCGCAACCGGCGAGAAAAGAAGGGGGCGGGACGCGCCGCGGAATCTGAGGGATAACGGAGAGCGAGAGGGGGGGGGGTGTACGGGACGGTGACACGCACGAGATCCTTCTTACTCGGTCTCTTCCTCTTCTTCGCGCCATCCTCCGCCTCCTGCTGATTCCTCGCCGCGACATCCGCCTCCCACTGTCCGACGTCGAAATAGACAGAGCTCATACGGCGCGCGCGCTCGTACTCGGATAAATGCGAGGGGTCGCGGCCGTCCAGGGCTGTAAAGGCGCCGGTGCGCGCGTTGAAGCGCGCGGTGTACGTGCCTGCGGCGGAGGCGGATGGGCCGGAAGCGAGGGAGGGGTCGAGGTGCGCGAGCGCGGGGTCGATGCCTTGTGCGGCGGCGGCTTCTTGGAGAGCATACATCTGCGCTAGGGCGGGCGGCGTGTCGGCGGCGGGGGAGGTCGAGGCTGAGGCTGGGAAGGAGGACGGCTGGAGGGGGTTCTCCCAGGTGGTTTGCTGGGTGACGGCGTTGAAGAAGTAGTAGGCGTTGTGGGCGGGGGACCAGATGGCCTGCCAGTCGCCGGCGGTCGCGATACCTGCGGGAGCAGATGTCGAGGTCGAGGCGACGGGCTGGACGTCTGGCGTGGAGGAAACCGAGGCGGACTCGGATTCCTTCTCGTTGTCGGCGGGAGACGTGGGGCGGGAAGGGGAGGCGGGGGCAGACATGGTGGGAGGAGGAGAGGGAGGCGAAGAGGGTGACGACGGCGTGAAGAGCGCGCGGGCGCGGCAATCTCCGAAAGGGCAGGGCGCCGGCGGACGGCTTGCACACGACCGTCGCCTGCGCAGACGAC